CTACTGTTGACTGGGGACTGATGGGTCTTTGGAGGAGCGGGAGGAGGAGGGGGCGGGGCTTGCGGTGTGACAGAAGCGTGCGATGGAGGAGGAGGCGGAGCCTGATGATGATGATGGTGGTGGTGGTGGTGGTGCGGAGGAGCCGGCGGAGCCTGGTGACTTGTTCTCGAAGGAGGCGGTGGGGGAGGTGGAGCACCCAGAGTCCCCGGTCTGGAGGGGGGAGGAGGAGGAGGTGCCGAGGCAGGTGCTCTGGATGGAGGAGGCGGCGGAGGGGCTCCTCGTCCCCCTCTTGAAGGAGGCGGAGGAGGTGGAGCCGAACTCTGGTGTGGGGGAGGAGGAGGTGGAGGTGGAGGACCTCCACGAGAAGGAGGGGGAGGTGGGGCTGCAGAACGGGGGAGAGAAAAAAGTGAGAAAGTGGGATTAGACCAGGAGTCAAAACGTGAAAGACCGGGAAAAAACACAAAAAAAGACTTCAGTTTTATTGGCAGGCTAACACTGCTGATGCTGCTGATGCTGCTGATGCTGCTAAAGCTGCTAATGCTGCTGATGCTGCTGATGCTGCTAACGCTGCTAATGCTGCTAATGCTGCTGATGCTGCTGATGCTGCTGATGCTGCTAAAGCTGCTGATGCTGCTAACGCTGCTGATGCTGCTAACGCTGCTAATGCTGCTGATGCTGCTAACGCTGCTAATGCTGCTAATGCTGCTGATGCTGCTGATGCTGCTAAAGCTGCTAATGCTGCTGATGCTGCTGATGCTGCTAAAGCTGCTGATGCTGCTAACGCTGCTGATGCTAATGTGACATTTACTCTTCATCAGCAGCTGCTGCTGCTGCTATTTCAGCAGCATTAGCAAGAATTGGCAACTTCTGTTGGAATAAGAAAAGAAAAACTCCAGTCCAGTCTCCAACACGGACTTATCATTTATGACACTTTTCCAACTTGGCTGCACATTTTCAACAAACAACAAAAGTGTCGGCAATTTAGAACAAAACAAATGTTTCTCAGCCACAGCGCGTGTGTGTGTGTGTGTGTGTGTGTGTGTGTGTGCGTGCTCTCACCCTGTCTCCTCAGCTCGTTCTTCACGGCCTCCACTCCTCCCTTCTTCTCGATGAAGTCGTAGATGACCTTGGACGTCTCTCGGTCTTTCAGCTGAGCCTCGGAGATGCCGCACATGTCGAACAGGTTCTTCAGCTCAGGATCCAAGTTGTTCAGCTGCAACAGTTCAAAGGTCAAACGCATCATTTAAATATAACAGACACACATGTTTCCTGGTCAAACAGTCACAAAGCTTGACACAGGTTTTCACAGACAACGGGAAAATAAAAAATATATATATTATATATATAAGATATTTTTCATTCATTATTATAAATATCGATAGCTAGTATTTATGAGTTTCCTCATCCTTTATACACAAGCCAGTTTAATCCAATTAAAAAAAGAGGAAGCGTCCAGAAGCTCATCATGACGCTGGTGTGACACCTAGTGGCAGACAAGTGGAAAGACAATCTGAATCCAATGTGGAAGCAAGTCAGTCAGCTTCTTTCTAAAACTGCCATAAATAAACGGGATTATTCACCATGGTTCTAGATTATTCTATAAATCCGACTGAGTGAATTGGAGGGAAAAAGTTAAAAACAATGAATGGTTAGCAACAAGGCTAATGGGCTAACGCTGTGCTGTTTGAGTCATGAGCTCACCTGTCAGCAGCTCTGATCAGGACTTTATTTACAACTGTCTGTGTTAACGTTACGATCGGAACAGCTGTTCTAACGCCTGTGGATCTACGGACGCTTATTTTTTTTTTAAACTTTGCATTTCAGTTCAGCCCAGAACATTCTGTGTCCTTCAGCTTCTCTCCATTTACATGAATATGAACTGGAAAACAACAAGAGCCCATTGTGCGACGGGTCATGCAGCCGCCACACAGGTCACTATTGTGCTGCCGAGTGTGTGTGTGTGTGTGTGTGTGTGTGTGTGGACGGAGAGACAGTACTCACATCAAAACCTGTGTTTGGATCCCAGCCCACGTGACCGATGTGTCTGAAAAGGACGGCACAGATGTGATGAGATCACACATATGTTTGGACAAAGACGTCCATACAGAAGGACACTGACTGATTAACATCAGCAAAGACACACAAAGAGAAACGGCTCCTTTACATCCAAAAAAAAGGTCAACACTTTTCCAAACTTTTACGATCTGGTTTGTCTATTAAAAAAAAGAGAAGTGATCGTCGGGCACACTCACTGGAAGTTGCTGGGCGTGCCGATGTCGGCCTTGGTCAGCTTCTTCTTCTTGCCCTTGCTCTTCTTGTCCTTGCGGCTCAGACCGCTGTGGCTCAGCATGTTGTTGAGGTGGTACGGCTGCTGGTGGCTGTGGGAGTTGTGGAATCTGAGGTTGTTGATCTCCGGGTTCTTGATGTCGACTGTGGCCATGTGCAGCGCCGGACCTACACCCAGGGTGGGACACACTGTACATGAGCTGGTGTGTGACAACCGCCTGTTGAACTGAACATTACATCACGAGTCCTCCCGTCTTCAGGAGGAGGCTGCTCCTCCAGCACCGAACTTCAGATATTTGTTTTTTTTACATTTTTCACATACGAGTGTGAACTTCAGATATTTGGTTTTTTTTTTACATTTTTCACATACGAGTGAGAAAAATAAAGCTTCTAATTAAAGTCAGCAGACGTTTGGTTTCTGCTCCTGCCAAGACCTGGAGACGTGCTGTTGTTGTTATTTACCAGCTACTGGAGGGAAGATCTGTGGCTAATTGAAAAACACACTGTATAAAAAAACTCCTGTTATTATTAATAGGTATCCTGTTTGTCTACTGTGGGCTGAGTGCAGAAATAGAGCCATCCAACACTGCTGCCTCCACACAGAAGATCCGTGTTTAGCCAACTTTTACACACCAGCTGACACACGTGTTACATGTTGTTAGTGCCGACGCAGAACTACTATTTGTGGTGTGAGCCTCACAGCTAAAGGAAGGTTAATTATTTTTATTATAAATTTCTATTATTTATTTATAATCCACCGTACTGTGAAGCATCAGTGTGGCTGAGAACCCATGCATTTTCTTGTCATGTTTGATGTCTAACAGCAGCGATGGCTTCTCCTGGGATCAGATCCATTCATTCTCTGAATCTGTCCCATAATCTCTACCAACCACAGCCACACCTAACATGACCACTAATCCACGGCTAATTCCAGTCCAAATCCCTGGACACAGATTTGGACCATACACATGGTCAATGTTGAAAAAAAAAAGTTTGAACTCTGTGGCTACAAAGCTTAGAAGTTCAAAGAAACAATCGGCGTGTTCTCCAGTCAGATCATCCATTAATGTCAACATTAACAAGATAATTGATGTCACATGTTGTTAGGAGACATTAAATATCTCAAGGAATTTATTTTAGACAAAGAGTCCCTAAGTTTGAGAGAAGACTCTTCTTCTCTCAAACTTGGACGTTATTTCAACTACAAAGTCTCTGAAGTCCAAACTTGGCTATTTGACCCTTTAACTTTGCAGTTGACCCTTGCAGTGACCTGCCACACTGTGGGATTCTGCAGCCGTAAACACTGCGTCCTCAGGCAGAGCAACGGCGTTGCCTACTAGGATACAGTACACACGTCTCTCAAACACAACCACGGCAACGACAACGACGGCGACGACGACAGCAGCCTGCTAGTTTTGAGTTTCACATCTGAAATGTCAGAACTAATCCACACCACTAGAGACAAACGTCGACCAGGGAAACCCATCCAGGCACAGACCCATTGTGTTGATTCAAGAGACGACTGGTCTGTCGAGCTTGTGTTAATCCCGTTCTTTGCAGTTTCAGCGTTGCCAACGATCAGAGGGCATAATGACAGCTAACGGTCTTGGGAGACAACACATGCAGCTGGGTGTGAACGTCGTGTCCACGTGTCTGTAAACAAACAGAGCTGCTAAGATTCGTCCACTGACCAACATCACTGGTTTAGAAGGACGTCTGGGCAGCGGTGTCTGCTTATAACACACACTTTTAGTACTGAATGGGTATAAACAAGTCTGAACTGACAACACATACAACAACTGACCTGGAACTAAAATCAAATCAGTTCAATATGTCAGATCTCCCGCGGAAAAAAGATTCAATCTCAAGGAACTCACTGCTTAAATTAAAGTTAGAAATAAAGACTGGGTTTACAAGAAACAAACAAGATAGTAAAAGTATAGTAAACCACAATGATGTAGTTTCCCTGTCTCTCCTGCAGGGGGCGCTCAAAAAGGCAAAAACAGCCTAGAGAATGCACTGGTTTGTAAATGTATTTCTTTAGTTCCTTAAAAATGTTGGAGGAATTACAGCACCTTGACAATAGTTCCATCAACAAAAGGAGAGAAAACGCTGCACTAAAAATCTGAAATATTGAATAAAAAAATAAATAAAAAACTGTAAAAATCAAACTGTTTAGAGGACACAGAAACATTATTTATGGTGTCTGGGGATGTCACAGATTATTACTGCCCTGCAAATCAGTTTGGAGAGAAGGACAGAGACCATGAGGTTTACGTGCAGCACAGATGGACCTTCTGCTGATCAGATTAACCTGCTGAGGACTCCACTCTGTGTCAGTATGTCAGTTGCACAGTCTGTGGAGCGGTCCAGCTTCTGTAACCAGTGTAATTTTTACTAAAATGCTGTGACATCTCACAACCACAACAGATCAGAAGTCCTGAAGCCCTAAGCTGGGCTGCAGCCGCTGATGCGATCGACAAACAATGACGAGCTTTGTCAACCCGTCAAGTTATTTTGATGACGTGCAGCACAAACAACTGCCTCCATCTTAAAAACACAAGCTTTGCCATTGGTTCAGTTGATACACTGTGTACGGAAATGTGCCGTATTTAACTGTCAATCCAGAAAGAATGATGTCAACGTTTATGATGACGTCAAGTCTCCTGACCTTTGTGATCACTCAAACTTTCTTAAGGAAGTGCAAAAACACTGAGGTCTGTTTGACTCCACTGGATCACTGAGGCTGTGTGTGTTATTATTTTTAAATAATAATAAAAAAAGATTATTAAAAAAATCAATTCAAATCTGTCGTGAGATCAACATACCATTTCTAGGCTCACTTCTTTTTTCTGCAAAAGAAAAGTTGACAAAGTTACAACGATTTTCAGGCATTGACCCTAGTGGTCAAACGCTGTGATTGAAACTTTGTTTTGCTCAAGGAAATGAAGCGGTTAATGGAAAAGTTGAGATTTAGTGAGCAGAACTCTGCTGTGATCGTCAGGTGAGCGTTTGTTGGCGTCAAAGCCAGTGAGAGGAAAAGTCAGCCATGTTGGGGTGGGCAGAACAGAGAAGAAGCAGCAAAAGCTCGAGATGCAAAGTTGAGTCTTACATAAACGTTGGACGACCAAAAATAGTGCTGTTTTCCTTCTGTGTGAGTCGCTAAAGCTTTAGTCATCATCACAGTTTGAGAATCAGAAAAAAAACAAAAATGCTGAGAGACATTAGGAGGAAGTCAGAGAAGATCACTGCTGCAGAGACGTCTGGTTTACAGACGGAGACAGAGAGAAACACACCAGAACTAGTGCAGAGAACAAGTGTTCCTCATACGATCTCAAAACATTACATCCAATCCCAGGTCGAGAAGACGGTCAGCTGATGTGAGGACGTGGGCATCATTTTTGTAACATGCGGCCCGTCTGGATTTGACAGTCAATGATAAATAAAATAAAATAAATACAACCATAACATTTCCACTGTTATTTACAACTACTGTTGTAAAAAACAGAGCCTTAAAAACAGTGGTCTCAAAGTCTGGACCTGGGGCCATTTCCGGGCCGTGCAAATAATTTTGCCAATGAATTTCTTTTATATACATTACATTTTTTTTAATCAATTACCATTTGCACTATTATATTATACTGCATTTATATTTAACAAAAACGACTTGTTTTGGATTGACTTTGTCAGCAGTGGCTCTCGGCTGCTCCTAAAGAGTCACTACCTGTATTCATATTCAAATTCAAACAAAGTGATGAGCAGAAACTAGTGATGTCCTTTGGAGATAAATTCGTTGTTAATATAATTTTTTTTAACCCTGTGCCATGTTCATCTTCCTGGGAAAAGGTAAAGCAGAGACGTATGAGAGACACTGCTCCAGATCGTTGTTAATCACGACGGAGGTAAGTGAGGAAACAGACGAGCGGAAGAGTTTTATTAAACTGAAACTCACCAGTTTTGCGTTGCCGACGGTTGAGCAGGTCAGAGATCGCCACTCGGAACCGCTTGGCCTCTTCTTCGCTGGCAAAATTCAGACCGATCTGACAGGACTGGAAATGAAGAGAGAGAGGAGTCACTGATATCACTGACATTTAGATTTTTGAAAGGCTTCTGATGAGATGGCAAGAGTGAAAAATGTCACTGAGGTCACACTGTGGCTCATCTGCAAACATCAGTGAAATGTTTGTGTCAAAATGAAAGTGTTTCCTACAGGCACTGTAACAAACCTAGGGGAAATCATAGGGAACAAAGAATTCTGACGCCAACAGGAACCGTTGAAACGTAACGTTGTGCAAATGAGAACTAGTCCCCAGGGCAAAAAACTATGTTTAACAAATACATTTCTTTGTTCACTTTTATTAGTGAAAAAACAACAGCCTTTAAACCCAGGACATCTAGGACACTGCGTCTTCTTCATTCCAGTATGAAGGGGAGTGGGAAAACCCACTGTTCACGACTACGTACATCTCCTGCAAATGAAATGAAGTAGGATCTGGAGCAGCTCATGTTGAAGTTGTGGTAAAGTTCCTGCTCAAACATGACTTTCCCCTCCTGTAAAAAAAGATGGAGACAGAAACAAAACATCAGTCGGTTCTTTGATTGGATGAGGGGATTTCAGCTTTGAAGCACAGCTGTCACGTCCACTCACTTTGATGTCAAACACTCTGACGAAGTAGGATCTCTGTGGGTTGTCTTTCACCAGACAGGCCACTCCACAGCACCTCTTCACCCACACGCAGCTCCGATCAGTCCCGTACACCTGGACCACTGCTGAACACAGGGTCTGCGCAAACACAGGACAGAAAAAAAGAAAAGTATGTTATTAGTATTGGCAAATACTCCAAACTGCAACATCGGTATCAGACATGAAAAAGTTGCATCGACCCAGGCCTCAAACTTAGAGTCGTCCAATTAATTATTTATAGAACAGAGACAACAGTGGACCAGGCGTTATTATATGAAGTAATGGCAGAAATATATTTGATGATCATTAGTCAATTACTGCTGATCACAGCAGAGCATCTTAGACGAGTAACCATTCGTTCTGCAGACAAAGACCAGACACAACTGGGTTTCATAATTATGAAGAAAAGGAGGCCGGAGTGACCTACAGTGATAAATTTAACTTTCATTTTTTAGCAGCACAGGAAGCTCCTCTCCCCAGCTCCATCCTGTCCTCAGAATGTTCTGCTTTGTGATTCTGAGGTTTCTGGAGAAGACACGCTGTGTTAATTCCTCTGCCAGGTCCTGTCCCTCTTTGACAGAAAGTAAATCCAGATGCTTGGGGGAGAAGGGAGGAAATGCCAATGGGCTGGTTTCCTCCTCTGTGATTTATGAGTGCAGGTCACAGGAGCAGCAGGAAACACTTTTCACCGTGAAATGACTCAGTGGCATCACACGGGAAAGGTCAAAGGTTAGCCGTAAGATCGCTCATTTAGGCACTGTAGATTCCCACCATGGTAAAGTGGGGGGACAGCAGACATTCTGCAGGCTGGCTAGCACAGGCTAGCACAGGCTAGCACCTTCAAATGCCAGTTACTAGTCATCACAACCAAAGTATTCCTAACAAGTGATTTAAAAAAAACAAAAAACAAAACAGGCTCATTGTTAGAAGCGGATGATAAATTGTAAAGAAGAATCCACAATAGAACACTGTACACAGTCAAGATCTGTGACATGGACAAGCTGAAAACTTTACACAGAAAATATTTTTGGAAATGTATATTAGGATTACGTGAATTTGTTTTGTTTTGACTTCTTCAGTGCAACTCTCGCTCACAAAAACACCTTTTTACGAGGTTAACAAAACAGCCCTGACCCAGATCAGCCCATAACCATCAGCTGAAAGAAACAGAAATTTAAGGAGCACAGGTGTCAAAATTCCTTGATCTAAGAAATGATATTTAACGTCAGTGTTGATTCAATGTCCTGTTGCAGCACAGTCTTAAATTTCAACCTCAATATGACACACCCTTACTGTCTTTCTGGTTGGCAGTGTACTGTAAAGGCAGTAGCCAGTTCCACTGGACCAAAGGTGTCAAACTAGTAATGCTGCCAAATAGAGTCCACCTAGTGGTGATATTCTACTGTCCTCCGTATCATCAGCAGAGTTCTTCATCCTTAATCAACAGATCTACATGGATGTTAAATACATGACAAGACTCCAGACGTTTACATCACCACTCTGTTGCAGAGTGGACGCCAGCAGTCCTGGAGTTTTCAGTCCGTCTGTGATCTTGCAGATTGTGCACAGGGCAACTGTGTGATATGGTGTTATTTTTGGACATGTACTGCACTCTCATTAAAAATGCAACACTATTGTGAGTCGTCAATGCACCATGTTTTCACCATCCTGTCATTAACGTTGTGTATGCTGAGAATAGTTGAACTGTAGTTAAGACTACTATGGCATCAGTCTACACTTTGTGTTGCATTAGAACCTGAAAGAGTTTTTTTCTTTTTTAGGTTTGTTTTTAATTGATTAAAACTTGTGTATTTGTGCGTATGTGTAAATGCTACCAAGTGAACCTCGGAAAAAGGTTACATTTCTGGCAGAATTCAGTTGATATGTAAAGGATTCACCAATAAGTAATCTCACTAAAGTCATGGAAAAAAAAAGACAAGAAGAGAGAAATCCCTGGTAATAACTAAAACTTAAAGAAACAACGAAGCCAGCATCATTCTGGAAACTTTATGTGAATAACGTATACAGAATGCATCATAAGCACAAAGTTAGGGTTAAAGATACTCAATGTTATCGGATGGAGCTGCTGTAGTCAAGCACACTTATTTATTTATTTGGTATTTTCAACTTTAAATATTCCTACAATACGTAAACCTGTAACCAAAGCAGGTTTGGTCCAACATCTGATTCAAGTTCATCTGAACTGACACCTGCATTTGTTAGACTGCAATGTTCGGATGCAGTCAACTCCATACACACAAATACTTTATTTGTACCTTATTTTCCTAAATATAGGTCGCACATTTTGACTGATAACACCATTCCCATCCGTGCACTAACAGGACTCAGTATGAATGAATTCTATGAAAAGCACTGCGTCATTACGCAGTCGTGTTTTGTATAGGAGTCTGGGAAATTTGCACGTACGTCATTTCCTATCCTTTATTGTCACTTAGTTGATGTATATACTTTGTAGTTATAAGCATATTATGAAAGCTGATCGATTTGGTTTTTGATCAAAGTGGCGGCAGGAGGGATGGAGCAGCAGGGTTATTTAAAGCAGCCTGTCGGCGGGGTTTGGAGTAGGCCAGCTGAACAAATATAAGGAGAATTTTGTGTCGTGGCAGTGCAGTGTCTCCATTAATAAGGCGGTCAACGACATTTGCAACTGAGAACTCACTTAGTGTTATGTTTGAAGGACATGGGGATGAACAGTTGGGGTTATCATTTGCACCTGCTGGTGATAAACAAACGAATGAACTTACGGCGCATTTCCTGCCCAGGTAGCTGAACAAGCACTCGTTCTCCTGCGGGGTCAGGAGAAGGGAGCCGACGTTTGCAACCCTGCGGGGCGGCGGGTGGCTGTTCATGGCTCCTTGTTCTCGTAGTTGATGCCGAAATGTTGCGGTTTCCCCGCGGTCTAAGTCAGTTGAAGTCTGCTGATTACAGAAAATCCATGCGGGCTCCGGTTGCTGTGGCCTGCAACCGGATCATCTCCGCTGAGTCCGACTCCGGGCTGGAGGGCGGAGGAGGACGGGGGTGGATTTTCCGTCTTACTCTTGCTCGAGAAGAATCAAAACTTCTTCGTTTACTGGTTATTTATTTAGGTTGAAGTCCCGTTTTGCCTATGAAGACAGATATATGATCAACTTTCATTCGGAAACTCTCGCAGCTGCAGCGGCTATGCGTACATCCAACATGGAAGCGAGGCGGAGTGAACCACTTTAAAACAGGGAGGAGGGGTGACCCTTAAAGGCAAACTCTATGATTATTTACTTTAAACTGAAAAGAACAAACATTTAACAAACAAACGTAGCGAAATACGAAACCTCAAACTATCTGTTTATGGATGTTCTCTTTATGTAGGCTTGTTTTACCGCAGTGGGGCTAGAACGTGGTTGTTGACAGAAAGTGGTTCAGTCCGATGTGGCAGTAGGAATGCAGCTATGCGGAGGGAAAGGGAGGGGATCATGGAGCGGGGTGGGAGTTTGACGTCAAAGGGGAGGGGCTTAAAGGCGGAAGTACTAAACGTAAATATGATCTGACGTTGACTTTTTTGGGAGACGAAAACAGTTAAATTTTTCAATGAAGCGATCTAAACTATACAAACAATTTTGAAATATGAAATATTAATATTTAATTTGTAACACTAAAGAAACCAAGTCTATTTTAAATTCTTATTTATTTTACATGCTAATTTAATTACTCACAAAAATACAGGGTACACGTAAATATATTTGTAATGGTTGATGTTGGGAATCACAGAGTGGAAGAGTTGGTTTGCATTACAGCAGGAAAAAACCGATTTGCTGTTTTTTTTTATTAAGAAAAAAAACGATTTGCTGTTTTTTTGCTGATTTGCTGAGACTTAACTTCATTTAATTGTTTCAGACACTTTAAATTAAACAGACAGTGCTTAGTTGTTTGTCACGTAGCTGTAATAAACTGGCAAATTGACCAGGGTCTATGCTGCTCTTGCCTAAATTAAGATTGCAGACCCCAGAGCCTGACTCCAGACACGTGTTTCTTTTAAAACAACACATAACATGTGCTTTGTAATGTCAGCCGTCAAAAAGATAAAATGAGGGCAAAGGTGATGATGACCATGGCGGCAGATGGACAGACACAAGCAGACCTGCTGCAAAATTAAAGCCGGTCAGCAGCATTAACAATTAAAACTAATCCGTTGACCAGCTGCTTCTTTACTCTACTGCAAAAAATATGGGTTGAGGGACAATTCACATATTTTACAACTATTTTTTTACACTGCTAATTTATAAAGGCCTAAATATTCCCAAAACCAGTGAAATAAAAATTGCTCAGAAAGTAGGATACATACTGCATATTTTGAGGCCTAAATATTCCCAAAAACAATGGAATAAAACTCGCTCATAAAGTAGGATACATACTGCATATTTTGATGGGATGAACACTAGATGGCGGTATATACGCTGATTTCGGGTAAATGATTTAGCTGAGCTAAAATTAAAAAAAAAAAAATCCAAGCATCAGGTGAAATCATTTATGGTTCTGGGAAAAATTAAAGGTACTGGCAGTATACAGTAAATATCTGGTTACAGACAAACAGCTGCTAGTATAACCTGCAAAAAGGTTTGAATACATTTTACTCTGTACGCAAATTGTAAAAATAAAAACATTATGCATGAATGGATCCACAGTCCTGCACACCACAAAATGATACATTTATTTATCTGTTAATCAGAAGGCTCCAGACAAATAGGTAAAGTCTGTGACATCGTTTTCTATCGAGAGTTCTACTTCTTCGCACAAACATCTATTTCACTGGGGCTGCCAGTATAATCTAATAAAATAGTAGTTTTTAGCATTGAATGATGGGAGTCACTGGGATGGGAGTCGTCTGTGTCTTTTCCTGTCCAGACATTTAGTTACAACTCAGACAATGGTCCAACAAATGGAAGCTTCTTTTATAAGCTTTTCTCACAAATGTTGTAGTCATCATGCACACAAGCATTACTGAAATATTTATCAAAACAAAATGAGGTTGGCTTTTTCAGTGTAATGTAAAATGAGTTAAGAGACAAACTCTGCACAAATTACGTTACTACATTATGAAAATGAAAGGCGGGAGAAAGAAATGTATCTGTTAGAATGTAATAAATATGGATTTTGTGTTATGCACAGACGTTGCAACAGGAAAAGGAAAAGCAAGAAATCAACTTCAGTGGAACAGCTCTCAGTCAGCACTACTAATGTCTGCCTTTCTAGCCCCAGATGTGTTAACAACAGCATAAAAACCTATGGAAGAATTCATGTGAAAGAAATCATGGTTGTCCAGCTGTTGTCCATGAAAATGTTTCAGTGCTTTAACGTTGTTTTATTGTGTGTTAAAGTCTATAATCTGACCAATGGGAACTTTTTAAAAACTGTAAAATCCAGCATAAAACAAGTTTATTTGAAAATAAAAAAGTTTCAGAAACATAGTTGCGATTGTGACGTCGTGTTGGTTTTGGAAACAAACTCCTGTAACAGTGTGAACATGATCCAAGTGCACTCAGCAAGTTCCATTGTTCCATCCCATTACTGTGTTAATACACCGTCTGCAGTGACACCTGGGAAAAGTTAAATATTGCAACTTACCAAATTCCTTTCCACCAAATGTAATCACAGCAAATCCCTGCCCCCGGGGCCAGATTAGTTACCAAGAGCCTGCTTCTGTACACAGGTATTGGTATAATATTGTGGAGTCGGCATAGAAACATCTCCTTCCTACAGTATGTAACCTAAAGATTTGGCTTCTAGATTATAAAGAGCTTTTTTCTGTTTTTATTAATGAAAATATAATCCTTAAGACTTGGTCTGAAAAATGTCTAGAGGACAACCTTGGCAGGTCAAAGAACAGGCCATGAACATTCCGAGGTGAGAGAAAACTGCCAAGGAAAAACTGAGAAAAGAAGCCAAATTGCTGGAGTGAAATTCTGCAAAGTCAAACAAAGAACTTGCAAAATATACATGAAAAACAACTGGCGAAGAAAGTCAGGAAAAAAAAAATCTCCCAACCATTAGAAGAACTTCTGAAGTGTTCACCACAAAACAGTGTTTCCCGAAAGTGTTTAAAAGTGGAGTTATGACAGGTGAGCGCTGGTAAAAGCCTGACTGCCAGTTCCTGTTAGACTGAGGACAGAGGTTTGTGGATGTGAGCCTGGACACTTGTTTCCACTGTTGTGCATGTTTGGAGCTAACATCTTCTCTGCTCTGCTCAGCAGTTCTACAGTTGGCAGGCACTTTCTAAGCAGCACTTCAGAAACGGAGCGACTGCTGCTGCATTTTATATGTATACATTAAAGAATAGAACGCCTTTGTTGTCTGCTGTCCTTCATGTGCAGTAACATCAGTGAAGGAAGTGGAGCCAAAATCATGGTATTTTGGCTCCTCCATCGGTTGGAAAATAACCAGGTCTGATCTTTCATTCATTTCACACCGTGTTCTCTCTGAGCTCTTTTCTCCAAACGCCCACCCAGATGTGGATGAACGTTCCCCTCTTCATTTGTTTCTGCAGCTGAAGGAATGCACCTTGATTTTATCTAACGAATGTTCCTCTCCTGCCAATGTCAGCCATGCAACCTGTGAAAAAGTACGTGAGGAAGACAGATTTTTTTTTCTCTTGTGTTTTGAATGGGTCTGTTTGAGCACCGATCATCTACAGTTCTGTAACGCTGATGTAGAGGTGCGGTCAGAAGAGATGGACAATAATCCTCCAGATGTTTCCTCAGCTCTGCAGCTGAGAACAGCACGAGGAAGCAGATATTGACCAGAATCTACTACAGTGTTAAGATTCAGAGACGGATGCAAAAGTTGTTTTTAGTTAAGAGACTAGAAGCATCATTAAAGGTTACAAAAGGTCAAGGTGGCCGTTAAAACCCTGTAGTTAAAACCTATTGTCATGTGTTAAAATATCAACTCCACATCATTTGTAGCCTTGAATTTTTGTTGTACAAATCACAATTTTTTAATTCTAAATATTTAGGGAACAGGTTTGGCGGACAGGGTGAGAGCGCCTCCATGTGGCCGTGTTCAACTACCGACACCAAACCCTGGGAACACACTGTGGCTTGGTTAGTGTCTGCAGCTTCATCTCCTGTCAGTTAAACCATTGTCCAGTTGGACGCACAATGAGGAGGGACCACAACAAACAATAGCAACAGCATCTCTGCCCCACTAAAACCCCGGGGACCTGGAAAGGGGGCAACACTGTGGGCAAACAAATGAGCGGACAATCTCTGTATCTGCTACAGCGGGTTTAAACATGGCAGATGGAACGATCTGGAATCTTTCGGCACGGTCACAGGAAACTGTATGGTAAGGTACGTCAACTTCACTGAAGACTACAGCTGAATGAATTAATCATATATTTATTTGAAGCGAGATCTACCAATCACAGCACAGAATGTTGTTTTCAACTTTCATAAAAATAATTTCCACTTCTGAATGACATGAAATTAAACAAGATGACCCAGAGATTTAGGAAAACGGAGACATCTATGTGAACTGTGTTAGTAAAAAATGGAAAATGCAGGTTTCTGTGGTTGCTGCAGAAGTGAGGGGTCTGTGCCATGTTGTTAATAAAAAAACATTAAAACCACATCTGGAAATTGCAGCAGTCAGACCGCATTCTGAAAGACGTGATCATAATCACGGTCCTGGGTAAAGCTGGAAACGAACCAGATATAATCAGTATAGTGTGTGTGTGTGTGTGTGTGTGTGTGTGTGAGAGAGAGAGAGAGAGAATATGGCCTGTGTCCACTTTTTAAAAAAGACTTGTTTTACATGGTGAAGATAAAAAAAACAACTTTTTTTCAACTTTTGTCTAAAACCATGTTGACCTCAAACACAGCCTTCTCAAATCTCATCCTAAGAGTTTTGCACGGTGCCATGTGATACCTGGATGTCTGATGAACTGCTGCAGCTTCCGCTTTGGTGCTGTTCATAACACAGAGTTGTTTACAACCCTGGAGTGGTTGGCTGGTTAACCACACCTGTCATTCATCATTTGGACGGTCAGTGGGTGTGGTGTCGGTTCTTAAGAGTTCGGACCTGATGGTGACCTGTTGTGGGTCGTTTGTGGCTGGGAGCCTTCGCTTTATCCACTGGTCTGATGTGGTTTGTTTTAATGGCCTCAGAAGTAAAGGAGATGCTTGATTACAGAGCTTCAGTTAGAATTAGGTCCTAACTCCATCATTTCTCACATTTTGGATGATAAAATACAAAATAACACAAGAATAAATTTAATTATGTCAAATTATATTTCTGATGTTGGACACGCGCAGACACTCGGTCTGGACCTGGAAAATCATTACACCTTTAAAGCATCTGTTGAGAAAGTTCTCTCTCACGCAGTGGGGACCTGGAAGACAAAGTGTTCAAAAAAACCTCTCCTCTCAAGTCCAGTTAAACCAAGGTCACTGAATGCAGGGACATGTTGTGAACATTAATGTAATCACAGGGTCATTAACTGTTAATGCAGGGCTATACTGTAGCTTCATATTTTCCGGAGCTGGTCGTGAATCAAGAGCACTCAGTCAGAGCCGTCCAGACCAGCCTTCAACCACATCTGCACATACCAGTGTGGTCGAAACGCTACAGATTAAAAATCAAACGTACACGAACACAAACCATTGTGTTCGGCCAGTCCTTTCCCTAAAGTAGCATTAGCCTAACAACGTCACGTCGGAGTGAAACAAGATGTTTATACACGCTCTTCATACAGTGTCGACATCGTAAAACTAAGAAAACGCAGCAGTGCAACGAAGGCTACGTTCAGCCCGGTGTTTCCATCATCGTCCACGGTTCTGATGAATTCTTGGATTTAGCCACATTCATTTGTACAGCAATCAACCATAATATGACTGGAACCACACTGTTGCATATTTCAGACTCATAATGAATTTCCCAACCAAGTCTTGGCAGCTTTGTTTATAGCTTGAAGACATTTCTCTCACTCTCTTCAGTAGCTTTAAAGGAAAATATAAGTTATGATTATATTATATTGAACAAACAGGCAGGATTACTGTGACCAAATGATTGACAAACATTGGTTCAAAAACAGTCAAAAACAGACTAAAAACAGTTCTAAATACTACATGATACTAAAAAGGATGTTTTGAGTAATAGAGTAATAATATTACTTCAATAATAAAGTAAATATCATTTAATTCAAATAAACTACATGTTTTTGTATTGACCAGCTCCATTCATTAACCTCCACATTGTTGGAACAGAAAGGGTCACGTAATGTTCCTTTAATTACAGTGTGGAATCATTTGGGGAATGATGATACTAATTTTGGCTGTTTTGGAATTTCTGCCTTGTGTTGGTGTTTAGAGATTCAAGTCTGTGGTTGTGTGGTCAGATACTCTTGTCACAATGTACAAGACTCTAGTACTCTACTACTCTAGACCTGGGTGCCTGTGAAACCATGTGTAGAATGAGACC